CAACCAATGAAATTATAGTTTAAGCCAGACAACATGGTTAGTTGAATATAAATTTCGGTGATTTTTTTAAAAATTATTATTAAATTAGAAGCAACCCCATTCAAAAAATATTTATAAAAAATTGTGTTTTGTTAAAATGTCAAATATGATCGTATTGTGTTACCGATACTGTTTGGAAATCAATATGTTTAAAGAAATGTAGAACCTAGGGGTGGGAGTGGTGAACTTTTTTGTGCAGGCACTTTTTTCCCATAGACTATAAACTAATTGTTGGCAAATCGCGGCTCGCGAGCCACACGTGTGGCTCTTTAACCAGAACCTGAGTGCGGCTTGGCCAGTCGGCCACCATTCGGTTATGTCTCCGAAAAAAACATGTTTCCTGACAGTTTCTTGAGAAGAAATTTGGCTCTCAAACATTTTTTAATCGTCCTGCTGCTGATTTTCGACCAGTGCCATAGACTATAGATGGGTGGCGTTTTCGTAGTAATTAATTTTTTCGTGGAAGAAGGCGATATTTTAAGGCAGTTACTTAACCTTCTCATTATTCTACACTCCCTACGAATTCATTAACATTTAACTAGTCTTGCACCTCCAGTGAATTGTTTTAACTAAGTTTCACAAACCCCACAAAAGTGACAATGCTCATAAATGGTTTTTAAAGTGGAAAATAATGGATTTTAATTTAGTTATTGAATATCAAAGTTCAAACATAAGGTTTGTTCAAGTTGGAAAATGAACTTACGATTACTACGAATATAACAAAAAAAGTTACAAAAACATGTTAAATCACTCTATGATGTGCCGCCAAGCACACCATGGAGGAGCGATCACCCCAAGCTTGTGATACGGTACTCTGTATCAGGTTTAAATTGTTTAACTAATGTCACATAGGGGGGGGGGGGTTAAGAAATGTTACATGACTAAAACCAAACTAATTAATATTTTTTATTTATTTTTTTATTTTGGTTGGGGTGGGGGGGGCGTCAAGTAAAGAAAGCCAATTGAGAGTGACAAGGATACTGCTAAGAAGGGGTGTGGGGGTCGTTCAAAGTTCAGTTGCGGTGGGATGGACCCGGTGGGGTATAAGGATCATGCGGATGTTTGCAAGATAACATTTTTGTTGTTGAAAGATGCTGCTTTAGGCCCACTCAAGGTATTCCAGTATGTTTAACATTTTTTTAACGAAATAATTATAATCATAAACCACCAAGAAGTTAGAAATGACTTCATGAGAGAGATCACTCCTAATTTTGAAACGTTTGAGTGGCAGCTATGCAATTGAAGAGTAATGACAAAAGAAAAAGGTAGAGGGAACCTGGAACTTGATCAGGGGGTCCTCAAACTTTTCAATAAAGGGGGTGATTCAAAGACCTTTAGTGACTTGGAAAGAGTGGGTGGGGGTCGTTTCACTGTCCCTACAACAATCGCTTGAAACCACCTGGACAATGCCGCCGTGGACTCTTACATCAATAGAGACAGAGAGCTTCAAGGCTGCCCTGGCATCTGCTAGGAGCCGTTAGGATAGCACTATCGTTCCCCCAACCATTCATTGCACATGTGCCAGTACATGGATTTAGCAACGTACCCTACCAGTAGGCCTAGGGGCCGTCCATAAAGTACGTCACGCTATTTTTGACCATTTTAACCCCCCTCCCCCCTGTCACAAACCGTCACAAATCTTGGAACCACCCCCCAAAGTACGTCTCACGTTCGAATTTTTTTTTTTTAAATTAACAGCTAATTAAAATTTAATCTAAAACACATTTCAATATTAAACTGTATTAAAATATAAAATTTCCACTTAAAAGAACAATCATATTATTAATGTTAAAATGACTTTAATAATAGAATAATTCCCAGCAAGAGTAATCGTGAACAACACATTCAGGAGATACGCATTTCATGCTATTTTGACATAAAACTAATTCAAATGTTTCACAAAATTTTTGAAAATTATTTTTAAAGCTATTAAATTCTACTAATAAGAAATAAATTAGAAATAAAATTTTAAAAAATAAAATTAAATGTGTGACGTCCAACGTTCCCTCTAAGGTTTGTTGGTTCGTGTGCAAAATCATACAGTTGTGCGCAAAGTTTTACAGCATCCATTTTTTTGTGTGCAAAATGTTACAGCCCACAAACAAAAACACACACTTACATGGACATTTTCTGCGCGGATACTCAAAACTGCTGCGCGGCGTCTGTGAGATAGCTGCGCGGACGCGCAGCTTAAAGGGAACGTTGGTGACGTCACACATGGCTTGACCCCCCCCCCGTCACAAACTGTCACACTTACTTAAAGGGAACGTTGGTGACGTCACACATGGCTTGACCCCCCCCCCCCGTCACAAACTGTCACACTTTCTTACACCCCTTCCCCCCTCTGGAGCGTGACGTACTTTATGGGCGGCCCCCTACCAGAACCAGATGTCCAAAATGATTTTTTAAAAATAAATAATAATAATAACCTAATTAATGTATCCTAATTTAAAATTTTGAAATATTTCTTTTTTTTTAATTTTTTTTTTTTTTTAAAGTTTTTGAAATTAGGGTGTGGTTTAATTCTGAAATGTAAAATAATTCTTGTGTTGATTAGGGATTTTCAATATTGAAACCTTTTTCAGATGGGCCAAGTTTACAAAAAACAAAAAAGAATCTTTCAATGTGTATCTTTATTAATTCAAGCACAGTACATCAGAAACTTAACATGCTTTAGAGAGTAGGACTGAAATGTATGGAGCTCTGAATATATATCAAAGATGCTGTGAATACACATGTAAGTAAGGTGAAGCTATATTAATTAAGCCAAACACTTTGAAAAACATAATTTATGCTAAAAGCTTTTAGCTAATAATACTAGTATATTTAAAAAAAAACACTTGAGTTATTGAATTTATTCTAAAATAATACAAAACATTCACTACAGGAAGTAAAGAATGAAGTATCCTGAAACCTTCTGTTAAAAAACGATACCAAAGCTGGTGTAGAATAACAAAGAACAATTACTTTAGGCTATTACTATTAGTTTTTAGACAGAAATATAAAAATTAGTCATGTGTAAAATCGAGCACAAGTAAACTTAAACTGTTGAGGTACAATTGATGTTATATAACATTGTCATAATCAATTCAAACTGTCCCAACCAAGGTCAACTAAGCTGAGGCCAAAAACCAGGGACACTGACCAGTGAATACAAGGGAAAAGTTAATTTATAATGCTTTAACATACCGGTATTTCAAACCATGCAAAGCTTGAGATTTTCCCATTTACACTTTTCTTAGTGACCACAACAAACAAAAAAAGAACTCGAGTGATTACAGTTGTCCAAATCGATTTACACTGTGACGTCAATAAAGATGATGCATCCTTATTATTATTACGGTATATAAACTATGCAGCTGGTGGTGACTGGTGCTGAATTTGCAGAAAAGTGGTTTACTACCAGTACTGTCAGAAGCCCTTGCTGTGTGTGAGCTGTGTCAATCTGGAACCCTTAATAAATGCACATGCCCTTTCCATTAGGTCTCACTTTTCTTCCTTAATATGAAATTAAAGCAGATGGAAAAACAGTGTTGAACATTCCTGCTGGACCCCACTGTTATGCTGTTAGTTGGGAAAGGTCATGGAACTGCTGCAGTATAGCAAAGACTTTTGGTGAACATCCCAGCTTTGATATGATTCTCTAACACCCATTTCAGCTGACCTATCAGTATGAAACTTTTATACTTTTATTAAAAGTTTTCAATTCTATCGGCCAACTGAACATCACCTAAAGATCAGCATAGCCAGAGTCCAAGAACACAAAAACTAAAAAGTGTATAGAGTACCACAAACCAGAATACATTCAGTTCTTAGTTCTTACTTTAAATACATAAAAATAAAATGAACATTGTTTTAAAAAATGACAGTGATCTTTGATCTATCTAAATCTAAGCACACAAATTAGTCATCAACATTAAAAAATGAAACAATACCACAACATGCACAAAGAAGAAGCTTAATCATCATACTTAATGTTACATGCATTTGTATTTTTCATAAAAACAATTTTTATCAAGTCAACCACTGCTAACTCTATTTCTGAAAAAAAAAAAAAACTAGTGCGAAAATGAAAAATGCAAAGAAAAATCGATGAGCACTTTGTGTCAAATATGTCTCTAGGGATGAGGCCAAATATCTTTCTTGAGATCTATTGAATGTGGGCTTTGGGGTCAAATATCTCTCAAAGCAAAAGTTGTTCACAACCATAAAGGGATTTTAATAGTAGAAAAATGTTTTATAAATGAGTTAGATGAGCAAGTGGCAGGTTTCTGTAGCTGCCTAAGGTGAAGTTTTGGCTTTACTTGAAAAACAATATATATCATGTAAGATTGGTCCAAGATAAACAGTATGAAAGATATACAGCAGAAAAATAAAATTAAAGCATTTTGTATAAAAACACAATTTATGGGTATAATTAAAATAATGAAACAGGTTCTTTAGTACATACATGTTTAAAAATTAACTTATTGAATAAAAATATTCCTAAAAGTCTCAAATCTAAAAAATAAAAAAGTGTGGCCTTCATATTTTCAAACTGTATGCTCTACTATCTTTATTCTAAATGTAAGTAAAACCATTATCTTATATAACAAACTGAAGTTTTGTATATCCATATTAAAGGCCCCTGTCTGTTCGGCAATAGAAGTCCAATTCACAGTGCATTTTCTCCTGTTAATTTCCTATCTCTTTATTCATAATTTTAAAAATACTTCATGAGCAAAAGGTTATGAATTTAAATTAAAAATGTGTAGAAGGAAATATTTTAAAATACAATAGAAATAGTAATTATTTTTTCAATCTAAAACATATTATTTTAACTTAACAACATACCATACAATTATTTGGTGAGAAAATATCAGCTGTGCTCAGAGTAATTCCCAGTTTAACATTATCTAGTAGACTAGATAGATAATATTATAAATTGTATAGTATTATAGAAGCCATATTAATTTAAATTGCTCTATAGATAGTACTTTTTTGTTAAAATGACATCCATTATACATATCTTAAAATGATTTTATTTCTTTTATATCAAATTCTTGCACAATATAATCGGTATGTGAATATATTATGACACTAGCAGAAAATATCTGGATTAGGAAATAAGCATCTGGGTGCTCTGGGATGGCCGAATGGGCCTTGAAAAAACACTGTATGCTAATTTATGATTTCCATCGAGATTTGAGTGCTCGTGCTTGTGATTGTATTAACTCAAAAATACTGACATTTATATCATAGAGTACTAATGCTGACCAAATACCGACATTTATGTACTAGGGCGCCAATGCTTACAAATCGTTTTTTTTATTGGTTAACTCTTTCAGTTCCTAGAGAATAGAGAGTTTTGATCATCTCACATCTGAAATTTATGAAAACAGCTGTCATTTTTTAAGGGTAATAGCTTAGATCATCTTTCCTTTAGTGTGCATGTTATAAATGTTAACAAATTTAAAGAAAGTACTGACATCCATTTCAGGGTAAATAATTCATGTTAATTTTTATCTAGGAAATATTTAAAACAAGGTACCCGGTATGGGACAACTTGAAAAAAGAATGCAAAAAAATAAAGTTTTTTTTGTTACCGGTACATTTTTTAAAAAGATGGATGAATCCCTTTACTTACAACCTACTTCTAAAATGCATTAATGCAGTGCGCCAGAAGTAATAGTAGAAAAACTGTAGCATCTTGAATGGGTGCATGTGTTTGTCAAGGTGCACAGGTCTAGCCACCACATGCTCCCTGGTGTGTCAAGTTGTGTTGGGAGGGTTTTTGAAAATGTGTCTCGCTCAAGGGGTTAAAAATTCATAGTTGAGCACTATTTTCCCTCATAAGGAACTAAATGGGAAGGGGGTCCAATTTTGAAAAATGTTGCAGAATAATTCTGAGAGAGATTTTAAAAGATGGTACTGTATCAAGTAACACGCTTATGCCGTGTAGTATATTGTGAAGAAATTTTGCCATTCTGGAAGTGCACTGTCTCAACGTAAAGGTAAGTCTGGTCAGTGACTGTTTCGACAAATGAGAATCACAAGTGTTCTGCAGGATGTTCTACAATCCCCCTATGATATCTATGAGGAACATATTTGAAACTGAACATCAGCGATACATCCATTCACCATTTGTCTAAGGACATAGGTGCATTTTTGGATAAAGGTTGGACAATGCTTGACAGAGCCAGATATGCAAGCAAGGATGATGTATTGATGTATTGTGGAGCATTTTTGGCCAAAGTGTACAATGATTCATATTTGTTTAGGAATGTGTGCTTCTCGGGTAAAATTCACATTTACTTGTGCAGCTACATCAATTATCAGTTAAGTCCCTTCCTTGGTTTTACTGTCCAGAAACCGCTATACAGGGAACGTGTGACGATAAGGTGTGCCATATCAGCACATGGTATATTATGCACATATTTCATTGAGGAAGATGAAGGCAATGCTCATACTGTCACACTACATGGCATGGTGATCGAACAATTTCTTCAGGATTTGAGAAGGTTCAGTTGTGCAAGGAATCATTACATGAATAGACACTAGACAGTAGTATCAACAGGATATGGGATGCTGCAGAAAAACTTTCCTGGATAAATTATTTCTCATAGTACTGACTTCTCACACCTGCCTCACTCCCCTGTACCTTAAGTACCTAGCCAACTGATGCCTACTTGTGTTAAAGGAGTGTCTTCGACTAAAGATTCACTAAGAACTGTGCCTGAATTATGCAAGAAAATTGTTTCCTTCTGCTGAATCTGTAGCAGCCATATGTTTCAAATTTTAAGTGAACATTATGAATTATGAACACGGTCTACAGCAGGGGGGGGGGGTGTTTGAGGGGGTGCATAAGTGCCTGAATTATGCAAGAAAATTGTTTCCTTCTGCTGAATCTGTAGCAGCCATATGTTTCAAATTTTAAGTGAACATTATGAATTATGAACACGGTCTACAGCAGGGGGGGGGGGGGTTTGAGGGGGTGCATACTAAGCACATTTACATTACGGTAGGCATATTATGGTAAATCAGCAAGCTTATAGTTTATATGTTGGTTTCTTTTAGGAGAAATAAATTTACAGATGACAACAAAGAAATAACGTTTGCCTTTTATTTTCAGTACAGTTACTTTTGGCGCGTCTTTTCTTTTCAGAACAGTTACTTTTGGCGCATGCTTTTTTGTGTGTCTTTGTCTTAGAATTTTGGAATGTTTATGACAAGTAATTAATAATAATTTATATAAGTAAAATGATTACATTTAATATTATTTTAAGCTGATAGGCTGACATGAATTTATATTTCTTATCAGTGAAAATCAGGGGTTAAAACATACATGCTAGGCAGCTGAATGTCTATGCCCTTCAAGTACTTTAGCAACAACTGCCTCTATATTTTCAACATTGCCAGGATCAGTTTCTGTCATTATAATCATCAGTTCATGAACATTACGATGGAAAGTTGTCAAAATGTCAGTTTGGGTGGCTGGGGATAGAGGATACATGAAATAGATTAAAACTAAAACAAAAATTCAAAGATATTATATAACTTGTTGTAGTGTTAAGCACTAATAATAATGTTAATGTAGTAGCTATTCATAGTTATGGAAATATGTCTTCTGAGCTGAGTCTGTTTGATACCAAGTGTTCACATGGGAGAGGTTTTGCAAAACTTAGGAAAATAACAGCAGTAAAGATGGTGGAAAGATTGATCTGACATTTACTGTTTGGATCTGCTGCACTATAACAATTTCTATAAGACATTTTTACATTGGTTGGCTGACCTATTGAATTTTGTGCTGTTGAGTGTTGATTGGTTGAAGTTTGGTTGGGAACACCTTGTTTTTTCTTCGATATGGAAGCCAAAATATTTTGAGCGGCATCTTGTGGGGCTATTTTATCAGTGAGATTTGCTCTCTTTGGCGGTGGCACAGCATTATCCCTAAATACACATTGGGATACATTATTGAAATTTTTGTCTATCATGTTGTCAAAAAACAGCAATAACTCAATATACTAGTTCATATGTTGTTTAATTATATGGTTAAGTAATTTTATCATATAAGTACAAGAATAGAAAGATACCTGTCCCTGTCTTTAGCTTCCAAATCCATTAATTAAAAATAATCTTGTAAATAGAAAAAAACAAACTGGAGTTATTATAATAAAACACACTATTTAAAATCTGTTTATGTGAAACAAAATTTATCACTATTTATTTTTATAAAGTTCAACTTACCCAGATGAAGAAGTTGAAGGTGCTTGCAGTGGATCATTGGAATCATTCTGATTAAGATCAAATGTTTTCACACAAAAAATCATCATTTAGCTTAATCATTATATAATTTTGAATGGCACAATTAATGCATCTTTATTTAATAAATACTATTGTCTCATCCCTGTTTAAATATGTTATTATTTCAATATTGTATCAAGAATTAATTATGGTATATTCTAAAATGTTTTAGATACTTTCTGTTATTTTAAAAATTAAAGAATTTCTTAAACGGAAGAAAAACAACATTCTGTGTCAGCAAACTTCATTTGTATTTGCCATTTTTTTTAAAAACTTAAAAATATTTTATCATCTCACTTGATCAAACAATGCAAGTACATTGGGGACATTTTCATAATTCATACCTTTCTCTTTTTTATTATTTTCCTGGGAAAAAAAAAGAGACCAAAAAAAAAGGTTAAAAAAAAAATCAACCAAAATGTAGAGGCAGATTCATAGAAAGGCAACTGCCTTTCTTTTGTTTTTTAAATCACTTTGACAAATGGCCAAACGCCAAAGGGAATGTTATGATATGGTTCATGAGCATGTTTGGAATGTGAGTGGTAATGTCATGATTTGGTAGTCTTGTGGTGCAATTGGTCAAAAGGTAAGGAATGATAAACATGTGAGGTGTATCAATGGAGTGTGAACACTAGACTAAATTATTATAGAGTGCAAATAGATAGTACAGAGAGAGTGTAGAGCAAATAAAGTTATTAAATAAATTAAAAGTGTGAACCAGCAGGATCTGGCCATTGGCAATAAAGAAGATTTGTATAACAATTTTACAGTTACAGGTATTGGAATTCTGTTTGATTAGAAGAGTTGTTACTCCTAGACAATGTAAGTTTGAACTGCCCATCAGTAGACATATTTTTATATAAAGAAAGAAAATAGTGGAAAAGATATGTTTAGACTTGAAATGAAAAGACAGGAAAACAATAGGATGCGTCATTTGCATGATGTTGATATTAAGGATAACAGTTAATGCCTTATCTATTTTTTTATTTTACATTTTACTTGATAAGTATAAGGACATTTGAGTTAAGATGGCACAAATAATGTGATCCATCAAAGGTAGAACTGAAACAATTTGCTTCAATCATACTTTCACAGACAAAATAGACTATTTCTCAATATTTGTGTGTTAAAGAATTTTAATTAAGTTTTAGTGCATCATAAAATAAAAAGGTTAAAAACCGCTGCCATACAATGCTGAAACATATGGAAAGGTGATGTGTAGAATAAAATTAAATTTAGCTGATTATTTTATTTAAAAACATAAATTAAACAAATTGACGATCACCATCTCTATACTTTAAATGAAGTTGAAACTAATACTGATATATTATATTTATGTTTGGGATTATTGAGGATTCAGTAGAATTGAATGCTGTGAGGTTGGGGGGGGGGGTATGACAAGGTGAAGGAGTTTAGGGAAATGGGCAGGGTTTGAGAAAACCAAATGCATTAGCTGTAGAAGGTAAGTGGTAAGGCAGGGAGGCTAAAGGCAGTAAGAGGGTCTATGAAGTTGGTTTGCAGACTAGAAAAATAGGGGATTGTGCAAGAGAGCAGGGGGTTGAAGGAAGGTGGGCTTCAGATAAAGCAAGTTGAGAAGATTATAGGTGAAGTAAAGACAGATATTAGGAAAAGAATGAAAAACAAGACACTCTGTAGCTGACCTTATGCCCGTAAGTTATTTTCATTCTGCATGCAGAATTTATGATAAAATTGCCAACTTGATATACATCTTATAAATGTTCTCTACTTACTTTTTCCCCACAGTCACAGTATTGGGTGTTGAGACATCAGGTAATGAAGATGATGATGCAGCAACTACATTTGGTGCAGACTGAAATATTTATTGAAGAGCTTCACCATTGATTTATTATAATGAAAATATATGTATGCATTATTTTTATTTTTTGTATTTGAAATAAAATGCATTATTTTTCAAAGAATATATTATATAAACAAAGACAATCTGGGAAGGTAAAAGTAAAACAAAAATATATTAAAGAATTAATTTCAACTGCATTTATTAAAAATATTCCAAGGCCCACCAAAAGTAAAAAAAACATACAAAAAAATATTGGCGTGCTGAAAGCCCACTTTAAATTCACATGAGCCTATACATCTTTCATAATAAATAACAAAATTATAGTTAACACTAATAATGGCATGTAAAGCTATATGGCATCTGATTACACTGTATTTATCCATATTAAATGTCTGTATTGGAAAAATTTCTGTTGACAGTGTTTTACCGATTGGTAACAGGTTAAAAAATGTCCCTTTGAATCAACACAGTTTTATGATATTTAAACGCTTTTATATACAATAATATAAGGATGTGCATTCAAGCCATGTGAAGTAAATAAAAAGTGGAACAAGATATGTTTATCCATATCCGTCATTGTGAAACCTCATCCACTTTTAAAAAGTCCCTTAAAACCCATCTGTTTAGGTCCGCCTATGACCTGTGATGCACCCTCCTTGCTCTGCCTCATTTTCTGTCTCGGGTTAATCCTGTAATATAGGCCAAAACGTGCCAAAGTGTCCTCGTTTTATAGCCATTTTAATTGTTTCTATAGTATAGTAGTTACTATCCTAATGTCTCATTTTTATTGTAATTAGTTTACATGTTTTTAATAATTGTAAAGCGCTTAGAGCTTTAAGGTAAGTGCTATATAAAAATGCCTGAATAAATAAATAAATAAATAAAAGAAAAGACAGGAAAATTAAACTGACATTTTGGCTAGATGACTTATTCAGCAGAAAATAAAAAACAAAATGTAACAGATACTTAAAATTAAAAATAACTTATGTGTTAAAAAATCTCAATAAAGCCAATGTGTTGTTTGTCAGTCGGGAGTTGACCATGACCACTTAAATCATCTGTGAGTGCGCAGAAAGTTAATGAGGCTGATTCTTTCACGAAATTTTCTTGTGCAGTATGTGGAGGGGAATGATGGGACTTCTCCTGGACCAGAGCCAGACTGGGCCTTCCTGGCATGTCTCTTGTGCTCTGCAGCCGCTGTTGTGCCAACTTCATGTTGCATAGAGCTCCTGTTTAAAGTGGAACACCATGATGTGCAATCCTTTGCATTTTCCTCGCACATGTCTGGGTTTATATTGAATGCTTTCAGTGAGGTTTTTAGATTGTCTTTTAACTTTAAAATGTCTCTTCTGCTCGCCAGAAGATCACTTTTTTGGTCGAGCTCACCATAGAAAATTCTTTTGGGCAGATAGTCATCTGACATTCTCACAAGATGTCCTAATAAAATGGTAAAGATGGGGAGAGCTGCCTGTGTGAGCACCTCAGAGTCTGGGACCCTGTCCTGCCATTTATGTTGAGGATTTTTCTGAGTCTTGTTGTATGAAAGTGGTTCAGCATTCTTGCATGGTGTTGGTATAAAGCAAATGTAGCTCAATGTTCAGAGCAGGAGATGCTCTATGTTAATGTTATAACAGAAGTCAAGTTGTTCAAAATCAAAACATGTGTCCCCCATTATTCTCTTGATTAATTCCGTTTAATTGTCCTGTCTTTTCTTTTCAGGTCTAAGCATATCTTCTCCACTATTTATTTACTTTATATACTATTTGCTTTTTCTGTACTTGGAGAAAATTTTGCTGCATAGCTTACATTATCTCAGGCAACCCTTTGATTTTGTTTATTATTATCAACTATCCCAACTTCATAAGAAACAAGTTAAAAAAGAGTAAAAATTTTGAGAGATCCATTTAAATAAAATAAACATTAATAGCAATCAATACTGTAAAGCAAATACTATGATAACTTTGATTATTTTTTTTTTAAATACCTACCATCTTTTCTTGCCTCTTATTCAAAATTTTTCTGAAGAGAAAAGCAAACATTTAATTACAAATAAAAAAAACATAAACATGACAGCTAAATTTCAACATATCAAAATTTCCTTCTAATAAGGTTTGTCATTTCTCAGACCACAAAATATTACAGCGTTACTATTTTTAGAATGTCAGACAAACATTTCTTAAAACATGGCAGCTAATAGTGTGTTTCAGCACATCGTTCGGACGATCCTTGTAACTAGTTACTTTTACATGTGCTGTATGTGCAATGAAGTCCCATTTCACAAAATGTTCATCCTTGAATATTGAAATAGCAGCAAACAAAAAATTGTGTAAAATATTTCTTAGAATATAGTTGTAAAAAAGCTTTGATTTGGGTTAAGGGCCTCTCGCTAACATAGTGGTACTGAACAGTGTTGACATTTTATCTAACCAGATTACCCAGATGATTACAGCAGTTCTATTAATAGAATTTCTACCATTAAATGACAAGCCCCATTTAAAGCAGAGCATTATAATTGATGTGCTGCAGGAGAAGAAAAAATATGCCAATATATGAGATGTACAGTACTGAAGGTGTCCACAAGACACTTGTTTGAGTAATGCATTCTCACAAAAATATAAAAAATTATATTGAAGTAAATAAATTGTGCTTTTCAAATTAAACAAGCAGACACAAAAATATAGCAATATCAATTGGTTATGAAACATTGAAATTTTAGAATGAAATTCTTGATAGCTCCATTTTAATGCTTAGAAAAAACATTAAAAATAAAAATATATATTTTAAAAGACTTCTTTGATAATTCTTCTTCTTCTTCTTAGCCATTCTCACTAAAATAAACTACCACAAATGACATCCGAATAGCCTGAGACTAATGGTACCCGGGTGCGAATGGCGGCGCTGCGTGTCTGGGTCCATTTTGACTCGGTGTTATTCGGATGTCATTTGTGGTAGTTTATTTTATTTAAACTGGAGAATTAAGTTTACAAACACATAGTTCATTCAATTATCTTTCATTTGATATCTCATTTTGTCTTACAAACCCAACAATAAAATTTTAAATCGTTTTTTAATCCCAACCTCACACTTCTAGTACCCGCGTACTAATAGTTGCAGCCTTCTTTATAACCTCTTTATTTGAATTTGCGTAGTTATCAAAAGCAGTTACTTTTG